CACTTTTTCAAATCACATGCCCAGAGGGTAGAGTAATCTATTATACCACAGGCTAGTTTGGAAGCAGAGGTTTTCTTTCGTACCATCACCAAGGAAAGTTGTATCAAATAGTTTCTGGTACTAACAACTTCATCGATGTTGATTAATGGGATGAAGTATCAAGTCTGAATGGGAAAGTCTCAATCTCTTTACAATAAAATGTTGCTTTTAAAAACAGTTAATGATAAGGGTCCACTAAAATTGCTAAATAAGTATGCAGGATTAGACTATGAATTAGCAGAAGAAACTACTTATATCAAAGTAATTGGAATTCCTTAAAACTTTTATAGCAGGCAATATGCTTAGTGTGACCTCATTTACATTAAAGGGCATCTACAAAAACCCCATAACTAACACCACACTTAATACTTTCTCACTAAGATCAGGAAGAAGTCAAGAATGTTTATCTTGCCATGTCTATTCAACATTGTACTGGAATTATTAGCCAGGGCAATCAGGCCTGAAAATGAAATAAAAGGCATATAAATTGGAAATGAAGAGTTAAAACTATCTTTATTTGCAAATGATGATTATGTATATAGCCCAGGCTATAGTGCAGTGATGTCATTTCATCTGAAGGAATCAACAGTTGATCATTCAGACAATCAGAAACTACACACTGGACACTTGCAATATGCCCAGTACTCCATGGGCTACAAAGGCTGTCTAAAAAGTTCTTAACCTTAAAAAATTATAATCGATCCAAGGGATAAGACATATACCAAAAATATCCAAGAATGGTAAAAGTGCTTTAGAAATGAAGCAGATAAACTGCTCTAAGAACAATTTGAGAGGCCAGGAGAGAGAATTCACTTTCTAGATCACGGATGAAAAGGAAAGGCTAATAGAGAAAAATAAATAGCATGAACAGAACTAAGAGGATGGGAAAGTGTTCCAGAAAGAGTGAGTGTTTCAGATGGGGATACTGTATGGTGTTCTGAGAGAGGAGAAGTCAGTACAAAGAACAGAGATTAGGCTAGAGCTAAAGCATAGAGATTTTGAATGTTGTGCTATGGAATCTGAATGTTATCCTATGGATAAGAAAGTACTCCCAATGACTTATGAGCAAAGGATATACAGAAGTAAATGGTACTTTAGAAAAATCAATCAGACAGTAATAAATAAGATGGACTGGAATGGGGTAGGTGAGAGGCAGGGATATCAGTTAGAAAGTGACTGCAATATAGTTCTAGTAAAAGAGGAAAGACTCTGAACCCAGATGGAAACAGAAATTGAATTCTTTATATGTTAATGCAGAGTTTTATAATTTTTTGTATTTCTAGAAGTTTCAAGGGAATTTCATGTAAATTAACTGCCCAAATCAAGCCAAGGGGCCCTGATCATCTGAGAGGCTATAAATACCTCTATAAAAAAAGTTATTGCATTAGCCAGCTGCAGTGCCACATGCCTGTAGTCCCAGCTACTCGGGAGGCTGAGGCAGGAGGATTGCTCAAGCAGGAGTTTTGAGGTTACAGTGAGCTATGATTGCACCACTGTGCTCCAACCTGAGTGACAGAGCACCATCCTATCTCAAAAACAACAAAAAATTACTGCATTCCAAAATTTGCACACCAAAAGGGTTATCTGAGGCATCATAACCATGTACCAGATAAAAGGATAGGGTTCATCTTCCAAAAGACACAACCTAGTCACTATCAGCCTTAGAAGGTTCATATGATTTCTACATTAACATTTAACAATGCTCTTGGGAAGTGAGAAACAATCATGTTTTGAAGACAAATATTTTTTGCATTTTTTTTCTTTCCATCATCTTTATCAGTGCAGATATTTGCATGAAAACAGGATCACTAGTCCTTGGGGATTCATCAATTCCTACTGGTTATTTTTCATCCATGTCATCCCCTCAATTAATGCAGGAAAGAGGATTGAGACATCGAAATACCAGATTAGGGTGTCAAGTAAAAGCCAACCCCTAGAGTAGATGAATAATCTGTAAGGACAAAAAAAATCTTATTTTTATGCAAATACACTATACACAATAAAACAAAGAGAGACTGTATCCAAGAAGTCCAATATATTCAATGTAATTCCAATTCTAAATTTAAAAACTATTTTCTTTATGTAGGCTAAATTTGATATGGTCCTAGAAAGTAATCAGTTCCAAAGCACTATAACAGAAATCAAACGGCTGAATTTTGAACTATAAAATAATTTTGAAAAATCTCAGATGTGTTCATGGGACTCTGGCAGAAACAAGCATTTCTCCTGTACAATTTTGGTTCAGTGCTGAAGGTGGCTGAATTAGATGACTTCAAATCCTCACCTCCCAAAGTCTTAAGTTTTTAGAAATATAAACATTTAAGAGTAATAATGGCTTTAATTGTGTGGATTAAAAAAAAAACCACCAAGTTTTTGATTGTGTGGAAAGTTATTAAGATAGACTTTACTGATGCTTAGGGAACTGACTCATTATTCTAAAAACCAATAAATAAAGAAAAAGAATAATTTATCTTGTCATTCTAGTAGGAAAGCTTTCAAAGTGATCAAATAGTTGATAAGATAAAGTCCTTTATAAAGAAATTCTAGCCAATAAGAAGGAATAGCAGAATTAGAATATCATGATCTTACAACCTATAACAAAATAGTGGATCTAGAACAGTGATCAAAAACTGCTACCTGGGGTGTAGGGCTGATGAAGAATTTTCCAATGAATAGATCAGACTGATAATACCTTTATCAACTATTAACTTTAATATCACCAAAAGAGAGATGGCAGACATAATTTACCCTCTGATGGATGTACACAATACCACCTATGAAATATTCTTGCCAAAAATAAAAAATAAAGCCTGTATCTATGCAAGCTTCTAGATCTATCAGGAAATAAAAAGGGATAGACGAACATGTCAAGTATGACCACACATGGATGTAATCGACAAAATCCAGAATTTGGAAACTCTACAGAACAAATGACTAGGTTTAATAAATAACAAGGGAAAATAAAATGTAGGTGGAACTATGACAGATAAAAAAGATTTAAAGCTGGGGGCAGTGGCTCATACCTGTAGTATGAGGCTTGGACTATAAGAAAGTCCAGGAATTTGAGGTTGCAGTGAGCTATGATGATGCCACTGTACTCTATAGCCTGGGCAACAAGGGAGGGAGGGAAGGGAGGGAGAGACAAAGAGGGCTAAGGAAGAAATGACTGTTAGTAAAAAAAATTAAATTTTAAATTGAAATGTTAAATTTGGCAGTAACTTAAATCAATGATGTGAACAAATTCACTACATGCTCTAATGAAACAACAAAAACAACTTACAAAACTATTTTTGGGATTGTTCCAATCAGTGCAAAACCCGTATTTTTTTTTTTTTTTTTTGAGACAGAGTCTCACTTTGTTGCCCAGGCTAGAGTGAGTGCCATGGCATCAGCCTAGCTCACAGCAACCTCAAACTCCTGGGCTCAAGCGATCCTCCTGCCTCAGCCTCCCAGGTAGCTAGGACAACAGGCATGTGCCACCATGCCCGGCTAATTTTTTCTATATGTATTAGTTGGCCAATTAATTTCTTTCTATTTACAGTAGAGACGGGGTCTCGCTCTAGCTCAGGCTGGTTTCGAACTCCTGACCTTGATTGAGCAGAGCAATCCGCCCGCCTCGGCCTCCCAGAGTGCTAGGATTACAGGCGTGAGCCACCGCGCCCAGCCCAAAACCCGTATTTTTGAAGAAAATTATAAATTATAGAAGTACTCTCAAAATTGTGGATTTATAAAGGTTTCAGGTAGTACCCTTGAAAACAAGGGTCTAACCACTGTATTTATGTTGAGTATCTCTTCTTTCAATTACAAAGTGAGAATTTTCTACAATTCCTTTTCCAGTTTTGTTTTTTTCCTATTTTTCTTCTTCAGCACAGCGGAATGTCAAGCGACCTTTTCCAGTTTTCTAATGCATGCAGTGGAAGAGACACAATTTATAAAAAAATAATTTAAACTAAAAAGAATGAAGAACAGACAGGCATACATGAGAAATTTTAAAGCATTATTCAGGGTAAAAGATATGTTCTTGGTCTATATCCCTTCCTTTGGGACACTAATCCATCCTTCCCATTCTATGTGATTTGGGTCAGAGCAACCCCTCAAATATCTGCATCTGCACCCAGGACCTAAGCCCCGTCCATCAGAGTGCTCCATGCTAGCTGGCCAAAGGACTGGTTCAAGAATGGGTAGGTGAGCCAAGATAGAACAGACAGAGTTTTCCTCAAGAACTTTCTTTTGGAACATTCAGAAAAGATATTCTTTCTTCCTTTGGGATAATGAGACTTAAAGACACATTAACTGGACCTCCTTTTGGCCACCTTCCCCAGTGCTAAGAAAAAGCAATCTGCAGCAGCAACAAATAGAAGACTAATGCATGAGTACTGCAAAGCCTGAGATGCAAAACAAAAGCAAGAACAATAGCACCCAGGAATATTTATTCAGGACAACTTCAATCTGTGCTCTGAAGTTACAATCCTCAAGCTTGGCCCAAATAAACTCTCTACTTAAATTTAAAACAAACAAAGAAACAAACAAAAACTAAACAATATATCCCAATGACATCATTAAGTGTCATGGATCTAGATATCCTCAAAGCTATTTCTACCCCTAGACTTTTAGTTTATGTGAACTAACAAAGTCTCTCTTCTGCTTAATCTAGTTTGAGTTGACATTCTATTGCTTAAAACAGAAAGGGTTGCAATATACTATTTATTACTGCATAGATAAAAATAATTTGTTACCTAGTAAATTCAGTAATTATTCCAGCATGCTCTATCATAAAAGGCACAATTTAGATTACATTGACCTCTTACCTTCAGAAAACTTATCCTCTCTCTAAAGATACGTTCTGAATTATAACCAGAACTTATCATGAAATACACAGCATGTAACCCTGAATAAATATGATCTGGGTACTCACACTCATCCAGCCCCAGCTGGTAGGCCAAGTTCTGTAGACCTCGTACCTTCTCCATCAAATTAGCTGTGGTGAGGCTTCCCAGTTCTGAAACAGAATCATTTATCTCAATACCAATTCTTTCCAGTATTCTCTAGTAACAACTTATTCAGGTTGGGAATCCTTGTTGTTTAATTCCTATTGAATAAGTAGCCGATAGATCCTTATATCTTCTCCCCCAATCTTACACACACACACACACACACACACACACACACACACACACACACACACACAGAATCAGGGAATTTTTCCACTACTGCAAAATGCCTCAGATGAGCTTATCCACTTAATGAGAAAAGAATTAGCATAAATATAATAACAAATTAAGTGTTTCATTCCAAGGATCTTCTTAAAACATTCATTATGACTATCATACAAAATGCACACACCATTAAAATATGAAACTTTGTGATTTGACATAGCATTGAGAAAGCCTTGCATAGGATTTCTATTTTGCAAAATGGACATTGTCTCCACTGTCATTTTTAAGTCCCCATTCTTTTTTTTCCACATCTCAGTACACACCAGAGGACACATTATTTCAATTAACAATAAAATAGCAACAAAACACTTACTGTTCCTCATTTCCCTAAGTTTAGAAAACAAAGACTAAATATAAATCTAAACTTTCCCTTCAAATCAAATACCTATAAAAATGTTTAAGTTTACAAAGTAAAAAAACAATATACTTAAAATAAAAACTTACTTTCCTAGATTTTCATGTAAATAGTACCCAATCCCTTGTAGGTTTAAGACATAGGTCAGTTAGCATAAAATATAACGCTATGATCCTTCACTAAAAATCTAAAGTTTCCTTAGGAAATACATGCTGATGGGATATTATATAAATGTCTGTTTGGAACATTAAAACAATGAACCTGAAATGCCCTTGAGACTTAATTTTTCCATGGTTGGAAGAGGGGATCTGCACTTCAGCATTTCATGCAGAACAATGAATTACTTCTAAAATCAAATAAAGGTGTTTTTTTCTCCCATTTATCATGCTGCCATCATTATCTATACTCAGCATAAGTGGACTTTCTTGACCTGTTCCACTGCTTAACAGCTCAAGAATCCCAGGTTTTTACCTTAATTTCAGTCTATTACCTCACAACCATCATGAATCTCATCACCAGAAAGATGATAAAATAAATAAATAAAGTAGAGCAAAATCATGGAAAATTAATGTTTTTTAATTTGAATTTCCACTTTGTGATTGAGTTCCAAATCATTTGTCAAACAACAATATTCACTACTTATAGTATTCTTTATGGAAGAAATTGATGGGATAGAAAGAAATAAAAAACAGGTCTTAACCCATTAAGGCATTGTCATAAATAGTACTGACAACAATAAACGGCAATAAATCCTAACTAAGGCACTTGTGTTACAGTGGAAAGAAACTAGACTTAAAATAAAAGATTACAGTTAAGATTTTAACTCTTTCTAACATATTTTGGTTAAGTTAACTTTTGAACCTTGGATATCATCATACCTAACTCACAAGACCTTTATGAGAATTAAATGAGAAAGTTGATGTTAGAGCTTTTTGTTAACTGTAAATGTTATACAAAAATATTTTTCCAATTACATAAATCAGTCACAGAGATAGAGCAGAGAAACAAGAGAAAAGAGCAAAGCCTACAAGAGATGTGCGATTTGTGAAGAAACCTAACGTGAGGTTATAGGGTTGCCAGAAGGGAAAAACAACACTCAAGGGTTGGACAAGCTATTTGAAGATATAAGAGGAAATTTCCCAGGCCTTGCTAAAAATTTCGATATACAAGTTCAAGAAGCTCAAAGGACCCCTGGGAGGGTCAATGCAAACAGGAAGACGTCACGACATGCAGTCATTAGACTGACCAAAATATCAACTAATGAGGCCCTCTAAGAGTTGTAAGATGAAAGAAGCAAGTAACATACAAGGGAAAGCCAATTCGATAACCCAGACTTCTCACTGAAGCTTTAAGCAAGGAGAGACTGGCCACCATTCTCCTCTTCTGAAACAGAACAATTCCAGCCTAGAAATTTATTCCTGCAAAACTAAGTTTGTATATGAAGGAGAAATCAAGACATTCTCAGATAAGCAAAGACTGAGGGAATCACCAAGACAAGACCAGCCTTCAAGAAGTACTCAAACAGTGTTACATGGATCCACAATAAACACTCACAATGTAAATCTACTCAAAGCTAATCAAAGCCAGATACCACTGGCTCAAAGAGAAAACAAAGCAACAAAGTTCAACCAAACATATAGAACAGAAATCTTCCCACCTAGCAGTTATTTCAATAAATGTGAATGCTTGACTCCCACTCAAGAGACATAGGCTGGTTGAATGGATAACAAGACACAAGCCAAGTATCTGCTGCCTCAGGAAATACATCTAACCTGCAAGGATTGGCCTAGCAAAGAATTATGAAGAAGACCCAAAGGCAATCACAACACAACAAAAATAACAAATGGACCTAATGAAATTAAAAAGCTTCTGTACCAAAGAAACTGTCAAGAGAGCAACAGACAACCCACAGAATGGGAGAAAATTTTGCAAGCTACACATCCGATAAAGCCTGAAAACTAGAATCTATTTAGAACTCAGGAAAATAGACAGAATAAGCAACCCTATAAAAAATGGCAAAGGACATGAATAGAAACTTCTCAAAGACAGAATAATGCCACAGGCATATGAAAAATGTTCAACATCTCTAATTATCAGGATGCAAGTCAAACCACAATGAGATATCACTTAGCTCCAGTAGAGATGGCCTTTCAAAAGCCCCGCAGCAACAAATGCTGGCATGGATGTGGAGAGAGAGAACTCCTACACTGCTGTGGACTGCAAACTGGTTCAACAACCTCTGTGGAAAGCAATATGGAGATACCTCAAAGCGATACAAGTAATCTACCATTTGATCCAGCAATTCATACTGGGCATCTACCCAAAAAGCAAAGTCACTTTATGAAAAGACACCTGCACTCAAATGTTTGGAGCAGCATAATTCACAATTGCAAAGCTATGGAAACAACCCAAGTGCCATCAATTCATGAGTGAATTAATAAAATGTCGGTATAGTAATACCCATGTAGTATCTCAGCTTTAGAAACAACGGTGATCAGACGCTTCCGTGATATTCCTGGATAAAGCTAGAACCCATCTAACTAAGTGAGTATCTCAAGAATGGAAAAACCAGCGGGCGTGGTGGTCTCCATGCTGGATACAACACAACTTAAACTGGGTGTGAATCCTACCTGGTTGGAGGCCGAGCGGCGATTGCATCAGGTCAGGAGTTCACCAGCCTGAGGAGACCCGTCTCTACAAAATAGAAATAAATTATTCCCACAAAATATATATACACAAAAATTAGCCGGCCATAGTGGTGCATGCCTGTAGTCCCAGCTATTGGGGAGGCTGAGGCAGTAGGATCGCTAGCCCGGAGATTGAGGTTGCTGTGAGCCAGGCTGACGCCCGGCACTCACTCTAGCCTGGCAACAGGAGATCTGTATCAAAAAAAAAAAAAAAAAGAATGGAAAACCAGCACCACATGTACTCATCAGCAAATTGGTATTAACGGATCAACACCTAAGTGGACAATAGGAGTAACATATTGGGTGTCAGGAGTGGGAGGGGAGGAGAGGGAGGTATATACAACCACAACTTAAGAAGTGCAAATTTGGGGGATGAAATGCTTGAAGCTCTTATCGAGGGGAGAGGGGCATAAGCAATACAGTAACTTAAACTTGCTACCCCCATAATACGCTAAAATAAAATAAAAAAATAAAAAAAAATTTTTATTCCCAATAATTGCATTATATACAAAATTAATATTAAAATAATTTAGCAGCAGAATTGAAGTGACTAGAGTCTTGAATTGGCAAGAGTTCTACACATGGCAAAATTAGAGAAAGGCATTCCAGAAATGAAAAACTATAAATAAGGAGGGCCAAGTGGGTGGGTAGTATGAAGCCAAGAAGTAAGGAAATAGTAAGAGAAAAACTGGAAAGGCGGTTTGTAGAAGAACATAAATATCTAGTTAAAAATTAGAGGTCACCAGCATTGCTTACCTTTCAACATGTCGATATCATCACGTTCTATCTCAGCCATCCATTTGGGTGGAGAGCTAGTAATAGGCTGTCAGAAAATAAGAATATATCCATTCAGATACTGTGAAGAGACCCTACTCTTTCTTCTTACAAGAAATGTTGGAGCCCCAGAAGTGATCTCCTGGCCGGAGGCTGCTGCCTACCCTAGAACAACAGGAAGAGTCTAAAGATTAGATTGTAAGAAAACAAGCTACACTTCACAGACCTGTATTACAGGTACTTCACCAGTATGTAAGACACAAATCTCATATAGCTAGTACTTTGATTTTTGAAAGATGCCTGAATTGTGTGCAGTAACTTGGGCAAGTGGGTCAGGACCCTGTCATGAGACAGGTGAAAGGAAAAAAATCCATTACAGTATTTTCTCTAGCAACAAATAAGATGTGATGACCAGAGGACAGTGAAGTATACCAAATGGGTGATGTCAGTCAAAGGACAACAGAGTATCTTTACTCCAGACAGGCCTCAGATATATGATATATTAGGATGTGAAAAAGAGGTCTCAAATTTATGTGGAAGGGAAAGTAGACTATGGTAAATACACAGATAAAATGATGTGAGGCGATAAGCCACAAAAATCATAGCTGATAACATTACATTGGATGACTTTTTTTTGGCCATTGTTTGGTATACTTTCCTTTCCAAATCAGGTACAGTCTTTAAAGTTTCTAAGAACAAGAATTAACATACTCTTTTTTATATATATATGAAAAAAAGAGATGTTGCTTGTGACACAGACTTAGGTTTTTAAAAATACTGGCAAATTATAATTTCAAAAACCTGGATTTCTCTAGGATCTGACTTGGCCTAAAATAATTACCTTATAAACTAACACTGCGTATCTTTAAAGTCAGTCTCAGAGAAATGATCTTGGAAGAATTAGGTATGACTACTACTATTAGGTGAGACTGATTCATGAATAACAATTTAGTATAGCAATGAAAGAAATTACTTGAAATTCAGTTTTGGTGAAAGCCTCCAACTGAACAGTTGAAATACTAGTCAGTTAGTAACTTTCTCTGGCAGAGGAAAAGATTCAAGGAATAATCAAGAATGAGAAAATCCTCAGTTTAAGTGAGAGAAGACTGGACTGGTCATCATATAAAATTTCTTAATTATTATGGAAGTTTTAGAAAACTTAGAATTTTAAGTTTTCTCATTTCTTTCTTTCTTTCTTTTTTTTAGAAATAGGGTCTCACTCTGTAGCCTAGTCTGGAGCACAGAGGCATAATCATAGCTCACTGCAACCTTGAACTCCTAGGCTCAAGCAATCCTTCCACCTCAGTCTCTCAAGTAGCTGGTCCTACAGGTGCACACTACCATGCCTGCCTAATTAAAAAAAATTGGAGGGCTGAGTATGGTGGCTCACGCTTGTACTCTAGCATTCTGGAAGGCTGAGGGAGGTAGACCACTTGAGGTCAGGCATTCAAGACCAGCCTGAGCAAGAGTGAAACCCCGTCTCTACCAAAAATGGAAAAACTTAGCTGGTTGTGGTGGTATGTGCCTGTAGTCCCAGCTGCTCAGTAGCTGAGGCAGGAGGACTGCTTGAGTCCAGGAGTTTGAGGTTATAGTGAGCTATGGTTGGGCCATTGTACCCCAGCTTGGGCAAGAGAGTGAGGCCCTCTCTTAAAAAAAAGAAAAAGTAAAAAAAAATAAAAGATGTTGGCAAGGATGCGGAGAAAAACAAAATTCAAAATAATATGTATGTCATATTTCTAGGGAAAATGTACAGATATTTAATCATATTTTTTAAATTATCATACTCTAATAAAGTATTTTTTTAAATCATACTTATTTATATGTATAACTTAAAATATTTAGTTGTAACCAAATATGATTAGCTAAACTGAAAAGTAAGTATAGGTGAGAATGGAAGAAAATTAAATTATACTGTCTACTCAATCTATTAGGCAAAAGCTGCTCTAACAATAACTATCCAACAAAATAACAAAAAGAAAAAACAAAGAAATAAAAAAAAATAAAATAATAATAGCTATCCTGGCTGGGTGCAGTGGCTCATGGCTGTAATCCCAGCACTTTGGGAGGCTAAGGCACGAGGATCACTTGAGGCCAGGAGTTCGAGAATAGCCTGGTCAACAAAGCAAAACCCAATCTCTACAAAAAATTTTTTAAATAGCTGACCATCATGATATGTGCCTGTAGTCCCAGCTACTAGGAGGCTGAGGCGGAAGGATCGCTTGAGCCCAAGAGTTAGAGGCTGCTGTGAGCTATGATCGTGACACTGCACTAGACCCTGCAGGACAAAGTGAGACTCCTATCTCTAAAAAAATTAATTAATTAGTAATAATAATAGCTACCTTGTATTGTTTATTATGTCCTAAAACACTATGCAGTGTTTTACTTGCATTATGGCATTCTATAGTAAGAATTCTATAAGGTAGTTTCAGATGAGAAAACTAAGGCTCAAAACTGTTAGGAAACTTGCTCATGTCACAGATAGTTAAGCAATAGAGTCAGAACTCAAACCCAGGTACGTCTGACTCCAAAACTTATGCTACCCACACTCCAGTTTAGGCCTTACAGGACACCAAAGGAGCACAAGTATGAATACCTAGCTTTTGAACAAATGAAAGAAGCTACAAAGTCAGACTCCCTCTGAACAAATACTCTGATGGGAACTGAAAAGATCAGGCCCAAAGGGGCCTTAATATTTAACTCAGCACTTTTAGCTCTAAATAATGAGTAGAGAATGGTAAGCATCCAGTAAGATACTGTGAAAGTTACACTACAATCCCCAATGGCATAGTTTAAAAGAAAGTGCATGGGCTTTGGAATCAGACAGACCTGTGTTCAAATCCTGGTCTTTACTTACTAGGACTAGAGCAAGTAACTTGGCTTTCAATTTTTGCTATTATTCAGGGCTTTGAGCATTGGGTTCAAATAAGAATGACGTTAAGAGTGTGGATACTAGTAATCAGCCTAATAGACTCAAAGCCTGGTTCTCTGCCACTTATAGTTGCCCTTGGGTAACTTATTAACCTGTCTGTGCTTATTTCCTTATCTGACAATGATAATAATAGTACCTATACCTTATATGGTTTTATAAAGATTAAATAATATAAATAAAGTACTTAGAACAGTGCCTGGCACTTAGTAAGCACTATGAAAGTGTTAGCTAATATTATTATCATCATATTTTCCTGGTTGAGAGCATCAAGCACAATGACTGCCACCCTGGAACTGGAAGTCTCTAACGCTAATGGATGTTTTTCTTCAGGTTTCAGATGGAACACTGAAAAATTCCAAAATCCTCTAAGGAAGTGTAAGTTAAGATCATAAAGAACTACATAAACAAAAGAGAAAAGCTTCAAAATTATAGTTTGGGAAAAAGAATACTGATTTGGGTATTACATTAAATAATTCAACTGCCACACCTTACAAACTTTTCAGGTTGACAACAAAGGTTAATAGACAAAGGTCAAAATGTCAAAATAGAGCATCTGGACAGAGGTAGGCAAAATCATCAATTAATATGATGACAATATAAACAAATTTATAGGGCTGGAGTTATAAAATGATTTGAAGGCTATGACATTATTCTTGAAAATAAAGATATAAGAGAGGTTTGAGCATTTACTCGGGAACAAAACTTTCGATCAACTTCATTAGGTATTTAATCTTATTTAAGATATTACTTACACTTTTAAAGGAAGCTGCAAATTCAGCAACACCTGGTACTAAAAATAAAAAAAACAACATTATTCATTCAATATATGAGTGCTTAGGCATAGAGGATTCAAATAATAAGAAAACAGCCTTGCCTTCAGGAGCTTATAGTCTGAAAGAGGAGAGAGAGTAAATCAGTATCTATATTATTGTTTAAGCATCCAAGAAAGATGCCAGGTGCTATGGAAGGATAAAAAATGAAACTCTAAATTAGAACCAGGAAGCAGGAAAAGCTTCTTAGAAAAAATAATGCCTCAACTTTGAAGGACCAGGAGTTAGCTGGTTGGGAGGGTGGTAAGATACAATATCTCTTACCAGAAAGTTTAAACTTCCATTTTAGGTGTGCTGTTCTATCAATCTATTTATTTAAATGTCTCACAGGAAGAATCACATTAAAAAGTAGAAAAATAAAAATCAGACATTTAAAAAATGAAATAATGTTCAAACTTGCTAAAAAAAAAAAAGAAATGCAAACTAAAATTAATAAGGTTAGTAGCATCCAATATTAGCTAGTATGTGAGGAAATGGATACTCTCACACATAGTGTGAGATATATGTACAAGGATATTCATTGATAAATTGTTCGTAAAATAAAAAATTGGATATAAATTAGGTTTCCTAACATGGTATGAATACATAAATTATAGCACAACTATACAACAAAATACATTTAAAAGAATGAAGTAGGCCGGGCATGGTGGCTCAACGCCTGAAATCTTAGCACTGTGGGAGGCTGAGGCAGGAGGATCACTCAAGATCAGGAGTTCGAAACCAGCCTGAGCAAGAGTGAGACCCCTGTCTCTACTAAAAATACAAACAAATTAATTGGCCAACTAAAAATATATAGAAAAAATTAGTCAGGCATGGTGGCACATGCCTGTAGTCCCAGCTACTCGGGAGGCTGAGGCAGGAGGATCACTTTAGCCTAGCAGTTGGAGGTTGCTTTGAGCTAGGCTGATGCCACAGTACTCTAGCCCGGGCAACAGAGTGAGACTCTGTCTCAAAAATAAAAATAAAAATAAAATAAAAGAATGAAGTAGACCTACACATACTAAGATGGAAAGATTCATTAATAAGTCACTAGGTAGAGTAAGTTAAGCTGCAGACCCTATACGTATGACTCTATCATAAAAAAAAAAACCTTCCTCTATATACTTAAATAAATTTATTTGCTTATCTATATAAGCATTAAAAAGGCCAAAAGGATTTGTAACAAACTATTAACAGTGGTTAACTTTATAAAAGTACTAGAAGGAAGCATGGAAATGCACTATCTCACTACTACCTGAATTTATTACAGATATATTTTTTAAAAAATAAGTATTGTTTAAAGGCTCTTTATTTCCTAAGTCACACTGTGTTCTGAAAAAATTAAACCACCAAATAGCTATTCTTAACATTGGATTTGTCTTTTCCCTTTGAAGTAAAATAAAAACTTTAATCGTTAGTTAAATGATAACTCTTCAAAAATCTCCCCAAGGAGTAGGGGGATGTTTGGAAAAAAAAAAAAAAAAAAAAAATTCTCCCCAAGGAGTGCTGGTTCTCCTGCATTGATTCTGATATAAAGAAAGCAAAACTTACATTGTTCTGGCCAAAGATCTGGTGAGGCACGGTCAAGTTTTTCAAAACTTAGCAAAGATGCTTCCAGATCTGTCCCTAGAACAAAACACCCAGATGAACCAAGAAGACATGAAACACGTTAATTTACATTTTATGACATTTCAGTTTCAAAGAACATAAACTGGAACACTCACCTGGAAGTCTCTTGAGTTCTATAACTATTGACACTACTGCGCCATGGTAAAATACAAATAAATCATTCACCCTCACCAAACCTCACTCTTCCAATCTATAAAACAGGAGTGATATTTTATTGGGCTGTTAAGAAAATGAGATCAATGAACCCATTTGCATCTTCATTCATACTCTTGTACTTTCCTCCAATTACAATTAATTAAGTGTTCCTGCTCCCATGAGAGAAACTCCCTGTAGGGCTCTGTATGCCATCTTCTCTTGCTTTGTCAAGGACATCATCCTGAATAATCTCCTTTCTTTTATACCAACAGTTTCTACCCTTTACAGGCTCATGTTGAACAGAAAACAAGCCTACTCTAGAATTTTCCTGCTTTAAAAAAAAACTCTTCCATGACCCCATGAGTTCCTCCACATTTGCTTCACTGCAAAAGTTCTAGAATGTTCTATTCTGTTGTCCCCACTTGCTTACTTCACACTCTCTCCTTAACCTATTGACAATCAGGCTTCTGTCTCTAGATATATAGAAACTGCTGTTGTCAAGGTCATCTATGACCTATGTTGCTGGATCCAATGATTACTTATCAGTTCTCTCTTACATCACCTCTTTGCAGCATACACTGACCACTTTCCTTGAAACATTACTCCTAGCTTCTATGAAACTACCATGGTGGTCTTTCTTCTACCTCAACTGACTCTTCCTTCTTCATTCTCCCTCTCCACTCAGGCTCCATCCCAAGCTGGCTCCACTCTCCACTCCATTTAGTCCCATAGCATTTACCTTCATCTATGTGCCAATGTCAGCATATATATATTCCCAGACCCAACCTTTCCCTTTAACTTCTATATGCCCAAGTGGCCACTTGATATTTTTCTCCATTTACATGTATGAAAAACCACTTAAACCTAATACGTTCAAGAACATACTCTCCCAATCTTCTCCATCTCAAGAAATAGCACCTCCATGAACCCCAATTCTCAAATCAAAAACCTAGATGTGATCCTTCATGCTTCCTTTTCCTTCACCCTTCCATAACCAGTCCATCAGTGGTTTAGTCCTTCACCCTTCCATAACCAGTCCATCAGTCCAGTAGTTTCTACCTCCAAAATACATCCTAAAACCAAATTAATCCAAGGAACTATCACTTCTCTCTTGGACTACCTCAACAACCTCTTAACAGACCTCCCTGCTCCCATTCTTATCCTTTTCCTCCCCACTCCCAATTCTATTCTCTACAAAGTAGCCAGAACTGATTTTTTTTAAATGTCAACCAGTTAATGCCACTGTCCAGCTTAAAGAATTTCTTCCCAGGTAAATCTGTGAATGTATATCTACCATGCCCTATAAAATCCTACATGATCCAGCCTCTGCCTAATTCTTCAACACTATTTCCCCTCTACTCTTCCTCTACACACAGCGGGTACTCAATATTAACATTTGTTGAGTATTTACTGTGTGCTCAGTATGTTAACTAGTTGCACAAGTTAGTTCATTTAATGCTATAAACAGTGGTTTGTAACATTTTCTGGTAAGCCACGTTTTTGGAAATCTGAAAAAAAGCTATGAACTCACTCCCCAGAAAATATACCTATGTGTAAAATTTTCCAACATATGCTTTTCTTTAAGCTGAATTTGTTTTAGCAAATATTCCAAGGGAATTTCCAATGGCATTTTAATTGGTAAAGTACTCAACTCTGAACTAGAAATATTGGCATGCACCCACAGTCTCAGATACTCAGAAGCTGAGGCAGGAGTATAGCTTGAGCCCAGTAGTTTGAGACCAGCATGGGAAACATAGTGAGACCCCATCTCTAAAAATTTTTTTTAAAAAAGGAACTCATCACTAATACACTGCCTTAACTCACATATCCAAAACTGGTAAAAAAGAAAAGCTGTGTGTAACCCAAAATACCAATTTCAAATTCCCAAGAGATATTATTGATGGAAAGCTCAAGCATGAAAAAAACTTATTGGGGAGTTGGAGCCAATAACCTACATGAGTGACCTTATGATACCACAATCTGGGATATAACTCTGCTGTGAGTCTTACTCTCATAAATTAAGTAATTAGATGGCTTTACTTGACTTTCAATTTTCTCCTTTTCAAAGAAGTTTCAGCAAATTTAGCATGAAAAAAGACAAAAGAGTAAATGACCTATACTTATTTTCAAATCAACATTATTTGAAGTAAATTTTAAAGACAGCAACAGGTACTGTGTTTCCCCGAAACTAAGACCTACCCATAAAATAAGCCCTAGTGGGATTTCTAAGCATTTGCACAATATAAATAGCCCTACCCCGAAAATAAGACCTAGTGAGGGCGTGGCTACGCAGCGTATCTGCACAACCCATGCATTTTGTCACAGAGTGGTAAAGAAGACGAGCAGCCCTTCTCATCTGCCCCATGAGAGCTCTGTTGCTCAACGTGAGAGATTGGGGCCAATAGCAAGAAATTCAGGATGGAATTCGGGGTTTGTAGAGTTATGATGAGGTTCCAGAAGAAGACAACTTAACTATATTTGAATAATTGTAGATTGTTGTACTGTACTTAAAAAAAATAACATGTCCCCTGAAAATAAGCCCTAGGGTATCTTCTTGAGGAAAAATAAATATAAGACTCTGTTTTATTTTCGGGGAAACACGGTAGAACACTAAAAATAGAAGTCAGAGAGCTAGGTAGTGGAATATTTTAGAATGAGATACCTATTTAGAAGCTGAATTTAAGTTCAAAGTGCTTGACTTGATGTTGTCAGATTAAAAAGAAAAAAAATTAGGTGGAAAAAAGTGAAACTGTAAAAAATGAGAATGAAAACTTTTAAAAATGACGAATACAGGCTGGGTGGGCGCTCACTCCTGTAATCCTAGCACTCTGGGAGGCCGAGGTGGGCGGATTGCTTGAGGTCAGGAGTTCAAACCAGCCTGAGCAAGAGCAAGACCCCGTCTCTACTATAAATAGAAAGAAATTAATTGGCCAACTAATATATATAGAAAAAAATAGCTGGGCATGGTAGCACATGCCTGTAGCCCCAGCTACTTGGGAGGCTGAGGCAGGAGGATCGCTTGAGCCCAGGAGTTTGAGGTTGCTATGAGCTAGGCTGACGCCATGGCACTCACTCTAGCCTGAGCAACACAGTGAGTCTCTGTCTCAAAAAGAAAAAAAAAAGATGAATACAAACAAAATGACCTCTAAAAAATACTAAAAAAGAAAAAAAATTGGGTCTTCTAAAAAATGTTAAAAAAAAAAAGAAAAAAGAAAAGAAAAAAATGACGGTGGAGATTGCTAGAAGACCAAAGGAAGAAGATACATTTTTAATATTCCTCCTGGCCAAAGAAAGGAAAATAAATTGAGAGAAGACGGGAAAATGAAACTCAAGGAAAACAGCTCTAACATCTTCAAAACTTCTCAATTCTGATCTTGAACATAAAAAAAGGAAATATCTCTAAAACTTATAAACAACTTAATAACTAAAATTTTAATAATAATTACTTCTACAACTTGGCTGAGTTTCATGTGAAATTATTTCTATTTTATATTAATATATAACATAAAATCTACCATTTTAATGATTTTTAAAGTTTCAGTGGCATTAAGTACATTAACACTGCAATCATCACATCATTTTCAGAACTTTTTCCCCTTCCCAAACTGAAACTCTGTACCCATTAAACAATAACTCCCCATTCCTTTAACTGACATTTTTTTTTTTTTTGAGACAGAGTCTCACTCTATTGCCCTGGCTAGAGTGCTGTGGCATCACCCTAGCTCACAGCAACCTCCTACTCCTGGGCTCAAGTGATCTTCCGGCCTCAGCCTCCTAGGTAGCTGGACTACAGGCATGCGCCACCATGCTGGGCTAATTTTTCTATATATTTTTAGTTGTCCAGCTAATTTCTTTCTATTTTTAGTAGAGACGGGGGTCTCGCTCTTTGCTCAGGCTGGTCTCAAACTCCTGAGCTCAAAACAATCTGCCTGCCTCCTCCTCCCAGAGTGCTACGATTACATGCGTGAGCCACTGCGCCCCGCTCCTTAACTGACTTTTTAAATGCCCTTTTTTTGGCACGAGAAGGCTATTTTAGCAAGAGAGCACCCAGGCAGAAGAACCTCCTTTGACTCTGAACATCTATAATTTCTTTTCTTTTTTTTTGAGACAGAGTCTTACTCTGTTGCCTGGGCTAGAGTGCTGTGGCGTCAGCCTAGCTCACAGCAACCTCAGACTCCTAGGCTCAAGTGATCCTCTTGCCTCAGCCTTCCAGGGAGCTGGAACTACAGGCATGCACCACCATGCCCAGTATATATATATATATATATATATTATATATATATATATATATTAGTTGGCCAATTAATTTCTTTCTATTTTTAGTAGAGACGGGGTCTTGCTCTTGCTTAGGTTGGTTTTGAACGCCTGACCTTGAGCGATCTTCCCACCTCAGCCTCCCAGAGTGCTAGGATTATAGCCGTGAGCCACCGCGACTGGCCTAATTTCTTTTTTTTTTTTTTTTTGAGACAGAGTCTCGCTTTGTTGCCCAGGCTAGAGTGAGTGCCGTGGCGTCAGCCTGGCTCACAGCAACCTCAAACTCCTGGGCTCGAGCGATCCTTCTGCCTCAGCCTCCCGAGTAGCTGGGACTACAGGCATGCGCCACCATGCCCGGCTAATTTTTTATATATATATTATCAGTTGGCCAATTAATTTCTTTCTATTTATAGTAGAGACCGGGTCTCGCTCTTGCTCAGGCTGGTTTTGAACTCCTGACCTTGAGCAATCCGCCCGCCTCGGCCTCCCAAGAGCTAGGATTACAGGCATGAGCCACCGCGCCCGGCTGGCCTAATTTCTTATACAGTATGTACCTGTGCACAAAAAATCTTAAGACTCAGGTAAACATAAGACTTAAGATCAAGTAATATTTCTGTATACATGTAATCATTCTTTTAATAAATGTTAATTGAAAGACTACTGCTTGCCAAGCACTGTGCTAAACCCTGGAATCCAACTATGAGCAAGACCAACTTGGAATTTATAATCTAGAGTGAAAGGGACAAAGTTAACAGAATGATTATGCTGACAGTGAAGACACAGAGATAGTGAAATAATGGTGAAGAAGAGCAACTCCAGATACTGTGTTCTGGGAAAGCCCCTTTGGGAGGCGACATCTAAAATGAAACCCGGCCTGGTGCCAGTGGCTCACGCCTGTAATCCTAGCACTCTGGGAAGCCTAGGAGAGAGCAGAGGCAGGATGGGGATGGAGATGGTGGGGGGAGGAGAAGTGGGCAGGACTGCTTGAGTTCAGTAGTTAAGACACCAGCTTGACCAAGAACAAGACCCCGTCTCTACCAAAAACGGAGTGTGCGCTTGTGGTCCCAGCTACTGGGGAGGCTGAGGCAGAAGGATCGCTTGAGCCCAGGAGGTTGCAGTGAACTATGATGATACCACCGCACTCTACCCCCCGGCGACAAAGCGAGACTGTCTCAAAAAAAAAGTGGTGTAGAGGTACAGAGCCAGGAAATCTCAGAGAGCAAGATATCATTTTTTTTTAATAAAATAAAATGGAAACTGAAAAAAACCTTTACATGTTTGATTCATCTTTCTGAGTCCCAAAGTACCTACCATTATTATTATGCCTTTCACATAGCAGGTACTTAATATAGCTCTCTTTGAGCTCATTCTTGCAATGAACTTCCAAGATTCCTTCCGAACACAAAATGTGTTTGAGATGGGAAAACTACATATTAATATCAACAAAATCGGCGTGAGGATGGGGGCGGTAGAAGCAAAACCTAGAGTTCAAAAAGGAGTGAAAGACCCTAACTCTCTTAGGCAGAACGGAGCACAAAAGCATGTGGGTATACCAAAACAACCTAATTGCTACCTGAGATTACTTGCATCTTAGACTACACTGAAAAGCTCAATTCTCATTTTCCTTGAGATTCTCATGGCAAGGGGCCGAGAAGGTTCCCCACCTCTCTTGCTGACAGGGTAACGGTTCCAAACAGAGAAAACAGAAGAGAATCATGTTTCTCCTGAGGTTCAGTCCCGAGATGAGATCAGCCACCAGCCTCTGCTAGGGTTTGAGAGAATCTTTCCATCTGGGCGCTCAATGAGAAGAGAACCAATCCTTCAATGGGGCACCCAGGATGGAAAAAGCTACAGTAATGCACTTCTTTTCCCCCAGCAGTATCTCCTATTTGATTCTCAGCCTCACCCAAACAGGGCCAAGGGAGAGCCAAGCGACCCCCTTCCTTTTGCCCTGGTGCCCTCCTGCACCCGCCTGGTACAAAGCGGGGAAATGGGCACCTCCGGACCTGCCGCGAAAAACCGATGAGCTGAAAACGGGGATGGATCTCAAGAAAAAGAAGTAAAAAGGAAAGGAGAGGGGCCCAAGAAAGAAGTGTAAGTTCGAAAGGCAGACAGAGAGTGTACGTTCTCAGGTAAGCAAAGAAGGAGGTTGCAGGCAAGGGATCTCGAAGCCGGCTCTTACCGTCTGTGGGAGACGCCATCTTCCAACCCACGTCACGTGACGTGACCAACCGTCGGCGGGAAAGCTAGGATCCATAGGCCACGCCCCCAAAAAGAAACCCTATCACCAACTCGCAGCCCCTTCTCTTTCCCTGCCTCTAGAGCAATCTTTGCCTGGCCCCGCCCCTAAAAATAGCCACGCCCCTCGCGCGGTTGTTGAGGCGGAGCGACAGCAAAATTCTTGGAGGGTCTTATTTACTTTCCTTATTGAAGGGGGCGGGGCCTCGGTCTTGCCTGTGGCCAATCGGGGCTCCGGGTTAGGGGGCGTCTTCCCCGTATGCTCCCTGCGGAGTATCCAAGTCAGGGGCGTCTTCCTACCTCAGCCAACAGAATTGGCTGAAGTAGGAGGGCGTGAGAGCGCTTCTGCTCCTGGCCAGTCACATATCCCCAGGGCTGGGAATGAGGGGTGGAGTCGTATTTTCGTACGGATGATTGGCTGGAGAAAATGGCGTTCGCCACCAATGGGGAGGTCCAGCAGGATGGAGGGCGAGGACTGGCAGCCGTAGACCTTCTGGGGAATCGCTGGCAGCGGAGCGCGGGTAGCCGAGCAGAGGCGGCCGAGAGCCATGGCAGCGGTGGTGGCGGCGGCGGCAGTGCGGACCCGGATCCTGCAGGCGAGTGAGGGTGGCGCCAAGGGACCACGACGCTAGGAATTGAACCCTTTGCGTCCCCTCTCCGATCCGTCCTTGGGCAGGACCGACTTCTTGGCCCAGCCCCTTTTTGGTCGAACCTCGTGTTTCCACGCTACCTGTGAGGCCCTGTCCTATATCCAACCCTCCCTCGTCCCGGATCCAGCCCTGGACTATCACCGCTGGCCCTCAGCCCTTTTACGCCCGAGCCTCCTCTTTCCTAGCTCTGGCCCACTCTCCTCCTCCAGCCCTGTCCCGTCCCCGCTGCCACTCTCTCGCCCTCACCAATCAGTCCGCCCACAGTCTTTCCCTTTCACCTCTGCACCAGCCACTGCTCTCCCCCGCCTGAAACTCCCCTTGCTTAGAGCTCTGTCCCTCGCCTGGAGCGTCCAAATTGCTCCCTTCCCCCACCCTACTTCACTGTCTATAATCTAAGGTAACGGGGAGGGGGCACGCAAGGAGCGAGGGTCAGTGAATGAACTTTGAATCTCCTTCTAGAAGTGTACACCAGGTTTTCGACAAAGGCAGCAATTTGCTAAGCTACTTTCCCCCCAAATATGGCGCTTTGTATCTTCCATAGACTGTGGGCTGTCCCCTTTCTTGCCAAGACTTTCATTTAAACTCTCAGCGAAGTTACAGTTTTCATGTTGGGAGGTATTGTAAATAAGGGCACATGGTTCTGCCACCAGTATGTTCCACATTCATTCCAGGTACTAAACGTCCCGAAAATAGATGATAGAAAATGGGAGCCAAAGAAGACAAGCAGCAAAAGTTCCCGCCCCAAAGTCAGCTCCTCTAATGCCAACACACCCTCAATCTGTCCATGGCGATTGGGTCCTCTCTGAAGCCAGCCTAAGGAGAGAGGAGCCTAAGGTGGTAGAGGAGCTGCGTGCTTGAAGCCTGTGATCTCCAACTCTGTTCATAGTGGTTCCCCTGTTTTCACAGCCTAGAAAGGACTTAGAATATGAGGCAAGATTTACTGCAGGCAAGATTCTCAAACCTCCAAGAAACAATATTGCCTTTTTTACTCATTACATCCAGCCTGGGAATGTCCTCTACATTGCTGGGCTTTTAGGTAACATTAGCATCCACCAAGCTTCAGTGAGCTCTGCTACAGGAACATATGCATTTTTAAGATTCTTGACAGAATCAGAAAAGGTTCATGTTTAAATAAGCTATTTAATGGTACAGTATGGAGAATGGGTTTGAGGTATTTGCCAGATGGTCTGGTTTCAGTCAATATTTCTTGCCTTGATCCTAGTTATGTTCTAGTATCTTTTTTTATAGTAGCAGGGAAACAAAGTTTCCACTTTGTATTTTCCGTTACCAACTTGTTGAATTTTTTTTTACCAAAATTGCTTTTCTCCTTTGCCTCCTCTTTCCCTCTCATCACCCTCTTTGCCTCTCATCACGAGTCATTGAGAACATTGAGAAGATATTTTGTCCTTTCCATCAAGGAGGAGAATCTAATCTCTCTTTCCATGTACTTTATTTTGGAAATAAACACTGTTTTCCAATTCATTTGAGGAAGCTTCTGAACTGAAGCTTCTTTAAAGAAGAAGAAAGGAAAAGAACGGAGATAGTAATCTTTAGTCACCTAGAAGCTGTTGTAACATGAAACTTTGATAAAGAATAGACCAGATTCTGGCAGCCATGAATTTTATATATTAGAGGACTATCAAAAGGATCTATAAAGGAGAGAGTTTTAAATTATTTCAAGTATTCACCTTATCTTCTTTGCTATCAAGGGTGGCAAAACTTAACCTAAAACCTCTCTCTACTCTCTGTGATATTAGCATTCCCATTGGGAGATAAGAAAACTAGTCTTGCCAGGCCCAGTGGCTGTAGTCCTACACAGCCTGCTGAGGTGGGAGGATTGCTTGAGGCCAGGAGTTGGAGACTAGCCTGGATGATATAGCCAAACCACTTCTCTAGGGGGGAAAAGAAAGAACAAAAGAATATGTGTGAAGATTAGAGTTAATATAATGAAGTAAATTACTTGACACCCTAAAGTTGTCAAGGTCACCCAACTAGTAAGTAATTGATGGAGTTGAGAATTCTTAAGCCAAATAGCAAGTAGGAAATAAACATTTACAGAGCAGAAAGTTTGGTGTGACTGATCACACAGGATATAGTTTCTTCAGCAACAGTAATAATGAATGTTTCTTACAAAATTAAGGTAGGAGATAAAACCTGTCAAAACTATATGATAGGCTCATGCCTGTAATCCTAGCACTCTGGGAGGCCGAGGCAGGTGGAGGCAGGTGGATCCTTTGAGCTCAGGAGTTCCAGACCAGCCTGAGCAAGAGTGAGACCCAGTCTCTACTAAAAAATATAGAAAGAAATAACTGGACTCTTTTCTTTTTCTTTTTTTTTTAACATTTTTAGAAGACCCATTTTTTTTTTCTTTTTAGTATTTTTAGAGTCATTTTGTTTGTATTCATCTTTTTTTTTCTTTTGAGACAGATCTCAACTGTGTTGCTCCAGGCTAGAGTGAGTGCCATGGCGTCAGCTAGCTCATAGCAACCTCAAACTCTGGGCTCAAGCGATCCTCCTGCCTCAGCCTCCAAGTAGCTGGGCTACAAGGCATGTGCTACCATGCCCAGCTTTTTTTTCTATATATATTAGTTTGGCCAATTAATTTCTTTCTATTTATAGTAGAAGACGGGGTCTTGCTCTTGCTCAGGCGGTTTCGAACTCCTGACCTCAAGGCAATCCGCCCACCTCAGCCTCCAGAGTGCTAGGATTACAAGTGAGTGAGCGCCACCCAGCCTGTATTCGTCATTTTTATTTTTTATTTTTTTTTTTCTTTACAAAACAACGAGCTTTAAATGTCATTTTTACAAAGTTTCTTTCATTTTTACAGTTTCACTTTTTTCCACCTAATTTTTTTCTTTTTAATCTGACAACATCAAGTCAAGCACTTGAACTTAAATTCAGCTTCTAAATAGGTATCTCATTCTAAAAATTCCACTACCTAGCTCTCTGACTTCTATTTTAGTGTTCTACCGTGTTTCCCGAAAATAAAACAAGTCTTATATTTATTTTTCCTCAGAAGATACCTAGGGCTATTTTCAGGGACGTGTTAATTTTTTAAGTACAGTACAACAATTACAATATTCAAATATAGTTAAGTTGTCTTCTTCTGGAACCTCATCATAACTCTACAAACCCGAATTCCATCCTGAATTCTTGCTATTGGCCCCATTCTCCACGTTGAGCCAACAGAGCTCTCATGGGGCAGATGAGAAGGGCTGCTCGTCTTTCTTTACCACTCTGTGACAAATGCATGGGTTGTGCAGATACGCTGCGTAGCCACGCCCTCACTAGGTCTTATTTTCGGGTAGGGCTATTTATATTGTGCAAATGCTTAGAAATCCCACTAGGCTTATTTTTATGGGTAGGTCTTAGTTTCGGGGAAACACAGTACCTGTTGCTGTCTTTAAAATTTACTTCAAATAATGTTGATTTGAAAAAAGTATAGGTCATTTACTTCTTTTTTGTCCTTTTTTCCATGCTAAAATTGCTGAAACTTCTTGAAAAGGAGAAAATTGAAAGTCAAGTAAAGCCATCTAATTACTTAATTTATGAGAGTAAGACTCACAGCAGAGTTATATCCCAGATTGTGGCATCATAAGGTCACTCATGTAGGTTATTGGCTCCAACTCCCAATAAGTTTTTTTCATGCTTGAGCTTTCCATCAATAATATCTCTTGGAATTTGAAATTGGTATTTTGGGTTACATACAGCTTTTTCTTTTTTTACCAATTTTGGATATGTGAGTTAAGGCAGTGTTTAGTGATGATGTTCCCTTTTTTTAAAAAATTTTTAGAGATGGGGTCTCACTATGTTTCCCCATGCTGGTCTCAAACTACTGGGCTCAAGCTATACTCTCACCTCAGCTTCTGAGTATCTGAGACTGTGGGTGCATGCCAATATTTCTAGTTCAGAGTTGAGTACTTTACCAATTAAAATGCCATTGACAATTCCCTTGGAATATTTGCTAAAACAAATTCAGCTTAAAAGAAAAGCATATGTTGGAAATTTTACACATAGGTATATTTTCTGGGAGTGAGTTCATAGCTTTTTTCAGATTTCCAAAAACTGGCTTACCAGAAAATGTTACAAACCACTGTTTATAGCATTAAATTGAACTAACTTGTGCAACTAGTTTAACATACTGAGCACACAGTAAAACTCAACCAATGTTAATATTGAGTACCCACTGTGTGTAGAGGAAGAGTAGGGGGAAATAGTTGAAGAATTAGGCAGAGGCTGGATCATGTAGGATTTTATAGGGCATGGTAGATATACATTCACCAGATTTACCTGGGAAGAAATTCTTTAAGCTGGACAGTGACCATTAACTGGTGACATTAAGAAAAATCAGTTCTGGCTACTTTGTAGAGAATAGAATGGGAGTGGGAGGAAAAGGATAAGCAAGGGAAGCAGGGAGTCTGTTAAGAGGTTGTTGAGGTAGTCAAGAGAGAAGTGATAGTTCCTTGGATTAATTTGGTTTAGGATGTATTTTGGAGGTAGAAACTACTGGACTGATGGACTGGTTATGGAAGGGTGAAGGACTAAACCACTGATGACTGGTTATGGAAGGGTGAAGGAAAAGGAAGCATGAAGGATCACATCTAGGTTTTGATTGAGAAATTGGGGTTTCATGGAGGTGCTATTTCTTGAGATGGAGAAGGTTGGGAGAGTATGTTCTTGAACGTATTAGGTTTAAGTGTGTTTTCATACCATGTAAATGGAGAAAAATATCAAGTGGCCACTTGGCATATAGAAGTTTAAAGGGAAAGGTTGGGTCTGGGAATATAAATATGCCTGACAATTGGCACATAGATTGAAGTAAATGCTATGGGACTAACATGGAGTGGACGAGTGGGAGCCCAGCTTGGCGATGGAGCCTGAGTGGAGAGGGAGAATGAAGAGGAAGAAATCAGTTGAGGTAGAAGAAAGACCACCATGGTAGTTTC